CATTACGCCAGTCTGATTGTTTCTCCTTCGACCTTTGTTTCGGGTCGTGGTGGGTCACACGGAACAGAGCAGCACAAGAGCAATTTAAGAAGAATTTTTCGAGCAAGTCAAGCATCAGGTAAGCAATCAAAATTTCTTTCAGAATAAAAAGCTGTGCAAATAACAATAAAAGTTATATGTATCCAAGCCCCAACAACTCGAAAGGATAATGCGAATTGTGAATCAAACGGTTTACAGCCCACATTCCAGTACCATTTGAGTGAAGTGAATATCAACTACACCAGGTGTTTATCCAGCTGCACCCCTCCCTCTAACTGTGATTTAAAAAGAAGTAACTTCCTTTGATTGTGAGCGAAACTACTTTTATATAGTGACGAAGTTTGAAACACACAGGTTGTAATTATCCTTTTCTAGGCGTTACGTGCGTCACTGGGTGCAGCATTTAGATTAATGTCATTTTGCCTCATCTATTTTCTCTGAATGTATCTGACGTCTGCATCCCAATTTCTCGATCGCATCTCCTCAATACAATTCGGGGGAGAGCTGTACGCAAGTGAGAATATCACTTGCCGGAGATTATACCTTCTTCGTCGGATAATGCAATGGATAAAAGCTTTGCAACAAAAGGAATTTACCTTTGAACACCGATAATCTATTAGAGCTGTCATTAAAGAGTTAAAGGCTGGTCATCTTGTACCGCTCGCGTAAAACTGAGCCTCATGCGACTAGAGTGTGCCAATGATAAACTTTGAGATTCGATGAACACTGCCATCGGTGAATCGATGGTGATGACAGCTTATGAAGAAGAAATCATACAGATATAGATTTCAAATAGGACTGTTTGCGAAGGAGATATTTCAAGTGATTTGGAAAGAATTTTCAAACATGCATACTAACATTACTTAGAAAATACTATTACAAACTGTAACCTGATCTAGGAATAAGAAACGTATATGCGTCGAATATATTTATTAAGTGCTTGTATCATCACAAGTTTATTTGCTTAACATGCTTACTACATATTGATGTCTTTCGCAAAACATTCTCAAAACAACTGCATAGCCATGCCTGAGTTTTGCAAACATTCCAATGGCTGAAATTTTAAACTAATTTATATATCTCCTGGACACTTTTCACCTACACCTTTCACTTTAAAGTAAAACTTTAAATGTAGAAGTTTCCATTTTACACCATCTAAGAAATTAAAAAATGCGGTATATTTTCTGTTAAAATTTTGTCATGTATTGAACAGCTTCCCACATTGGGTTCACTAAAAATATGATAGGCTTTCTTCACCCTATTATGCCGAAAACATTTCTCTGCACAAAACATCAAGGCGTTTTAGCTGTTGTGCATCGCATGCCTATCCAGATGGTTAACCAATCCCAAATTCATTGATATGCAATTAAAAACACTGTGTTACCACCTACTATATTTTTCAACATTTATACTGTATCCGCGTTGTTGTCCAGCTAAGCTGTTTATGTGGTCAGTGTATACGTGCGCTCTGGTGCACAAACCAATTATTTGTGCTTAATTTACTTGAACGATGGGGATTACCTACTGACAATTATGCTCGTTTTCCATTTCGTAACCATGCCAAGTGAATGCAACTCATCTGACTAATCACGAGAAAAATAAGTGTTTAATCCAGGTGACTTCTAATGCCACTTCCGCATCGGTTGAACTTATTACCTTCCGGAACCATTGGGAATCAACTTTGTGGTGTTACCCGGGCTAAGAGTGATTGGTACAAATTGGTTTTCAGCCCACAAAGTGGAACAAAAACCACGGCAGTTGCGGTCATGAGCAGGCGATAATTGAAATACCTTCAATGTTTATCACTATGTATGTGGTTTGGGAACTCAACGTCAAATTCTTGTTCTGCGATCCGGCTCAGCAGTATACCATTGCTTCAGCTTTTGAAATACACATACTGAGGTAGATGGAAACTTTCCGAAGAGTACTAACTTGCAAAATCAGTTTACATTGTGTCTTAGGAACAAGTAAATTAGTATAGCTAAAATAAAATTGCAGAACCGGGAAAGCTTACGGTCGAGTTGTGGCAGCATCGCTAACGTTGAAGAGGACACTTCAATCAGAATCATACAGAGACGGCTGATGAACACTAGTGAAAAATATGCTATACGGGTCTATCGTACTTTATATTAACATTGTAAGGGTTAATTACGGCCAACATGTCAAGCACTAAGCCAACCAAAAATATATTTGTGTAATCTCCATTCTGTCTCTATGGGATTGAACATGGCAAGATCAGTTTTGTTTGCGTGGATACCTTTCCTTGGTGAAATTGAAGTATTTTGGAACCAACTTCTGTTTTAGTCACAGAAAATGTCGTCAACAGCTAAAGCTTATACCTACGGATCCTCAAGTTATTGCTGATGATTTACAGCTACACTTGTCGTTCACAGGTACAGGTGGAAGCTGTGTAACTTGAAAGCTTAGACAGCCATCTAAAACAATTTACCCACTATTTCTTCCTGAATTACTAAACTAAAGTACAACAACTCAGAGCCTGGTGCTACAAAACCGCATGGTTGTTCACTAATAAATATCACCCTATATTTTTCAATGATTTTAAATGTCCAAATGTCAGCTCGTTGTTTCAGAATTGGTATGCTTAGTGTTATGTTGTACCAACTGCTTGCACAAACTTTAGATAACCTTGAAAAATCTATATAACTCCTACGTCATTGACAGTTTGAATTTATTTGTTTGGTGAGGGCTTTTCCTCAAATAGTAATATCACTATCTGCTAGCTTCTTCAGCGAATCCTTAGTCTCCAAATTACCATGGCTAGACAAGATAATACTAAGGAACGATCGGATTCGGTTATAGTTATCCTACACAGAGCCAGATCATGTTCTCTTGATTATACATAGAAAAATCATCAGTTTTTCAGTGATCCAATAGGCTTGCCAACAGTCCTGTATCGAATTATGAATTTGGTCGATGAATGCACGTCGTTGATGATAATCAAAGGAATGTGGGTAGTTGATATAATTTAATAAGACTTGAATCTGCCAAACAGAAATATGAATAATTAACTTAGCCTTAGAAGTTCATTCAAGGGACTCCGGTCAAGTCTGAGGAAAACCTGTCGGGCCCATCAGCTTATAGGCTACCTGGTGGACGCCATAAGCCTCTGTAAGTTGGATGGGTGATCTGAATGTGAAAAACGATTAGTGCTATCAGTGTGACCTCGTAGCTCGTAGCGCGCTCTGTAAGAAGCTTACTCTACTGGACGTTTTACAATATCATAATAAGACTTCTAAATGGCAAACAACAATTTGAAAAATTGTATTTTCATTGGTTTGCAATCATCATAGCTTTATTTTGAACCGTTTTATGCACTCACATCCATGGAATCAGCTTTGTTTTGAATTTTGAATAACGATTATAACTGCTATGGTTACCTTACATTTTTCTTCATCCTTTGACCCTGTTTTGATGCAACCAAGGCTGATATATATTCACCGAAAAAGGTGCAGAAGAGTGGACACGTGACTTGACTTGAAGTAGGTATTTTCTAATATTTGTGACACGATAGGTGTGCAGTTTTGCCTGATTTACTTCGATCCCTCAGGGCCATCACGGTACTGCGCAATATTCTTTGGTTATGGGAGCAAACGCATAGGAACAATTAAGTGTTAACTTTAACCGCGTGATTATAAAAGCTAGACTAATCCGTAAGAGTAAATACACAACATCAGAGCATCGATTTGGAGTTTAAAGATCTGACTCCCGTTTGTATGAGTCTGTCAGTCGGATCTCAGTCAAATTTCGACTTTACTTACTAAATGTTAGGGTTAAACAGACCTGTCACCGAACCTAAACTTCATTGTTTAGTAACGCAGTCAAGTCAATTTATCTTCGAAAAAGGGCACCGTTTCCCTGGACTTCATGAACTCAGGCATGAACGGCTATGTCTAATTTTGGTGAGAAAACAATAATAACTCAAATGAAGTTTAACGACAATGAGCAAAAGAAAAATTAATTCAAACACTTGGAAACGGCTGAAAAGGAAACTTGAAGGAATCAGTTGTACACAGTTTGACACTTAAGGTGTTCACAAAATAAAAACTAACGAACAGCTCAAATGCATAGATTAACGGAATGATGCATTGGTTCAATTTCTCGTCTGCCGTAGTCTGTTTATTTCAAAAGGACACTGAAAAAGATTGCTATCTATGATCGACCAGTGCAAAGCGGTCAAATTACCTCATTTCGTGGGCACTATCTGCACTCGAGTGAAGCACTGCGTAATATAGGTAACTGCTCGCAACAGCACACGCAATATCCAGCGAAGGGGAATAATCAAAAATTAATCAAATGAACCTGTTTGCACAAAACAAAATTAATGTTCCGATCTTGTGTTCAACATTTGCATGGGTTTTTATGACAACGGGAAACTGGTAGGCTCAGATACATAAGAAACCGGTTGAACTAAATGCGTTTTCCACTCCTTTTTCAAATGCAGTTATAAGTGTAAAAAGCTCAAGGTCACCAGAAGGCACAATGCACTGTTTATCCTAATATATTGTTGTGCGAAGCTGTTGTCTTCAGTTTTCTTGCTATTTTCGGCTCACGTTTGTGAAGCTAACCAACATTTAAGCTCGTTTCGCAAAGAGAGAAACCTCTGAGTGATTGTTTGCCAATGAAACAGATCAGTATGAATTGGTTGATGATACCCACTAACTTACTAATCCAAACTAAATATACAATATTTCTGAAAATATTGAATGAAAAGTTGAATGCTTTACCTGTATATTTTCAAGAATGATATTCAATCCCTCAAAGTAGAACTAAATTGTGAATGTTCAATAATAAGACATTAATGAGAGTTTCTACTTCGCCACGCATATAATGATGTCATCACTGGGACGATGGTGGCCAGGTGGTCAGGTCACCAACCAGTGAATGTTGGTTGTATATTTGTATATTCAATAAATAAAAAGGAAGTAAAAAGACATTTACACTTATTTATATAAAAAGCATTTTCTCGCCCGCCGGATTGTGAACGGGAAATCAAGACTTACCTGGATATTTTCTATCTCTTCGAAATTTTCCTCATCGCCTGAACCTGCGATTCCTTCTTTGGATTGTGTCTTAGGTTTCTCATCTGGCCACTCTTTATTTAGAGAATCTTCATCTGATGGAATGGTTGCCAGTGATCCACTATCTGTCTCAGCATTATCTACTTCTCTTTTATTCTTCAAATAACTAAATGTGTCGATCTCCATGTTTTCATTATCGACTACTTTTTTCGCAATGTCTGTAAAGTTGTACTGAAGCGCCTGTGGTGCTGCTACTGTGCTGTAACTATCTCCAACGGATTGCCTTCGGTTGTTATCCATTTGAGTTTTCATCCATTCGCATGAAACCGACTCTGTCGAATCCTGATTCCAAAATTCAATATCTATAACATCCGAGTAGCGATGCGTTCGGGTCCATTGAGAAGATTCGTCATTCGAATCATGCGGTTCCGATTCCGGTGAATATGAGTCAAGTTCAGCAGCAATCAGGTGATACAGAAACTCTTTGTTCGATGAATGCGCTGATTGACTTCGACAGATTCGTCTAGTTAGCTTTCTTTGACGATTTCCCTCTGTCAAATGACGCTGGAACTCCAGTTCCCATGGTGCAACTGGGGTGTGATTTGTAAGTTTGCAGTGACTGTTACATTGTATTCTTGAAGAGGTGAACGCAGAATGTAGCCGAGCTTGTCGAAACTTGCTTGGTGACTGGGACAGTGCAGAGAGACATTTTCTTCCCTGTATATCATAAAATACCGGAATAGACATTGATCGTGTGACAGCGTTCGGCGAAATAAACGCTTCACAAAATGCACTGAAGCGCATGACCTCCACACAATCACACTGTGATTTACTCATTTTTACAGCCACATTTATTGCGTTGCCATGACATTGTACAAGGCAACTGAGTACTCGACCCGCATTGTATTCTACTGGAATGCAAACAGACTCTAATTGCGAGATGTGATCCTGAAAGTTATATCATTGACAGGTCAAATAGGAAAAAATCGATATACTGGTATGCATACTTTTAAGATCAAACTAATGGGTGATCTAACAACAAGGGATGGGTCACCTTTGGCATAAAGTGAGACATTTTTGTTAAAAATAATCACAGAGTTGATCTCAGCTGGCTCTATTCATATACACTGATGTTTCAACTCAGAAGATAAATACAATACCCGAGTTTTCCGATCTCTAGCACATATGTTTTCTTTGTGCTTTCAACTTACTGTTCATCGATGAACCGGGACTGGGGTTGAGTGGTATAAATGGTTGTCCGTTTTTTCTTTTGTGAGAATCCCACGAATGCGTGTGTTCAGTTTTAGAAGCCTAAAGCTGTGTGTTTCATTTCATAAAAAACCGTGAAAACTAGAAAAGCAGTGCAATCTTTTAGTACATATCAAAGGTACAAAAATAGTCACGTCGTTTCAGATCCAGGTAGTTTGAAAGGTGATTGTTGCCTAGCGGAACTTAGCTGTTAGTCAAACGAATGATATTCCTAAGTTGAGCAGCAAACCTTTTCGATGCGCTGGTCTTCGGCATGGTAACAAATCTATAACTTGCGGGCGTGAATATTCATTTTTTTGGTTGAAGTTTATCACAGTATTTTGTCTAAATCACCCTTCAAGTTCATCCTGACTAAAGATGTAATGTATTGTAAAAATCGAACTTTCTTGGGAACTGAGATCTAGACTACAAAACATGTCCATTGTTCTGTCCGAAAAGTCTGAGATTCACTTGAACAATAAAGGTATGGATATATGATACATCATATGCCTGTTTTTATTAGATTGAAAAGTATCTGGTTAAGCTTTGATGACTGCTTATTCAATTGTGAATTGATGGTGTCAGCAATCAGATACTACAGAGTGCTAATTGTAAAATGGGCACTTAGCGCTTTGACATATTTTCTTTACCAAGTCTTATAACGCCAATTCCAAGCCAAAACAGAAAAATGAAAGGATTGTTCAAATGCGATAAGATAAACCAAATGCCGTTGAATAGCTTAAAGAAATCGTAAAACAACTCTGCAAGATTACAAAATCCGTTAATTAACCAAAACCATTCCAGTTTCTTGAGACTGTGAATGGTGTGACGAAGTCACTGTGGTCCCTCAAAAGTGATTTGTTCTAGGACAATCCATAAATTGCTGGGATGGCCACACTCAGTTGATATTCCGAAGTGGTAAACCAACCAAAACGGCGGACAGCAGTTCAGTCAAACAATCGCTGCGTATATGCAGTCAAACATCCTTTTGCTTCAGTATAATTAACCACGCTTTTTAAGCAGTGTTAATTTCCATTAACCTCTAGCTGCGTTCTATTTCACTATCTGTGGAATTGTTGTCTAGACTAGTGACGTTATCCGAAGATGATCGTTTGGAAATACACAGTTCAGACAGTGCACTGTGACTATAGCAAATGACGGATTAATCTTTAAAATTTAAAAACGAACTGAACGCAAGAGTTCGGGAAGTTTACATTTGGTCATTCTGTGAGTAACTACATTCATTTATTTCAAACACGTGATTGTACTGTAGCTGAGTAACCTTTAGCACAAGTTAAGCGGTGAGTTGACGAGACTGTTTTCCAGAAAGAAAGTACGATTAAAAGAATCATTGCATTTATGCCCCGGTATCGCAGCATATGATTCTACACGGTGAAAACAGGACCGGCTACACCTTGTCCATTAAGGACTGAACTGATAGAAAGCAATTTTAGACAAATTCAACAATTATTTCAATGTCTCCGTGTACAACGGTTGAACTTGAATTTGCCTTAGAGCAATTAGCCCAGTTTTATCTCTGAAGTTGTGTTTACCTATGTCTCCGATGAACTTACGGCATGAAATGGTTCTGTGATATCAGTCGATCGCATCCATTACCTACTGTTCTTTAAATATGCTGCACACAAGCAACGTAGAGGAAACGTCCAACAAATAAGCACTTGAAACATCGAAATACAATAACGTGAAATTTGTCAGGTTTCAACTATCACAGTATGCCATGAATTTCAACGAAATTGGTTACACATTTATTGAGACTACTTCATAAAACTAATCTTAGGAGTTGATAAAAGGTAGGTCTGGATTCGTTCGTGATTGTTTGTCATCTGACAGCAATCTTAAATACCCATAACGTCTTTCGAGACTGATGTGTGTGTCTCGAAGATAATTTGGTTTATGTCTGTTTTCAATACTTCACTTCAGTGGAAGGAACCAAATTTATTTCCAATTTACGTGACATCAAATGGATTCGATCAGCACACTATTCACTTATGCTGGATCATTTTGCATAAAGCGTTTGCTGGTTATTCAATAATGCGTTAAAGATGAACGGTAAATTTAGCCTTCAATGGAACCTATTGTGATTTACTGCATAAGATTCCTTAAATGAAAAATCCGAGTCAGCAAAACCTGAAGTAGAAAGTAAGATAAATTTCTGTTTGGACCAACACAAGATTTTCCCTAAATCTTATTGTTCAGGTTATTATTCGTTCTTTGTCACCAAGCGCAGGAATAGATAAATTGCTTTTTCATCTAAGCATCAGTTAGAGACATAGGAATTGTACATTACAATGGCAAAAGTAAGCTTCACGTTAAATGTCAACGCACTATTGTAGAATCGATAAGAGTACTGCTCATTTCCTTTTCCCGTGTTATTACTCACCGGTATAACCCATACTTTTACGTTTCCTTCGGGACTCAAGCGGCAAACCACCCTGTAGGGAGAAGGATATCGTTGTACATGAAGTATACGATCAACAGCCAATACGTTTTTAACGTAATTGCTAACTGACTTTTTTTAATTTTTTCGTTTTACTTTTTGATGCTTTTTATTGAGTATACAAAAGTAAAATTTTCAGGACGAGGGAAGCGGCCATCCAAAGGGCTGCCATTCAACATAATGGAGGAAGTCAGGCAGTGGTGTTGGGATTTGAACACCCATCCCCGGGGTGATAATTTGGTGACGTTACCATCCGGCCACCATCGCCCGTGAACCATGTGAACCAACAAACACACGGGTATATGTGCCACTGGTCAAAAATTTATGAACCCTGGTCTCTGAGATTTTTCGGAAAAATTAACAAAACTTATTGAAGGCACCTTTCTCGTTGAAAGGTAGACTGAAAAGCCCAAATTACGTCAAGCGGCTACCATGAAGCGAATACGATCTTTTGCATCTAATGTGTTGCACCATATAAATATATATGGTTTCAGTAGTTTCGAGTATAATAATTACTGTAGAATTCATAATAGGTGTTAATAACGACTAGCTTGCTTTAGGATATCAATTGATAACTTACACATGGTATGAATGATTCTTACGTTTGGTGAGCGCGACCATGGTGGATGCCTAATCACACGATTGATGCTGTATTTCAATCAAAACGACCAGAACATATTTGTAATTTTGTAATATTTGTATTGATTGTTTCCTCGCTCGACTCTCAGGAAGTTATCATAAATGTGGTACTTTCTGATGATAACACCAGTTCCTACGGAAATCCCCATCAGACAGTTTTAGACTTTGACTAGAGCTCACCTATCGGTCATCCGACAGTACAGATATTCAGTCGAATTGCGTCTATATGAATCTGTTTCTAAATACGATACATGGCAAAAAGCTAACAGTTTCAGTGCATTTAACGAAGCCAATTCAACAAACTACACGTATGACCAGTTGCAAATAGACTGAGAATATTACGGTTATCAGTAACAAGCACAGAAAATATGCTAATTACTTTGCAGGATAAAATTTATGCTGTCTCATTGCTATAAAGAGACTTGCAATTTTTTACATCTGTGTCCACAGCTTCCATACTTTTTCTTATCAATATATTCCATCAACGTTTTACCAGCACCCGTCAATTTCATCGACTGCTATCAATCATCAATAATGGGTTCAGAAGAGCAAATACAGTTCGTCATAAATATGGTAAAATAAACGCATACTGTAGTGGCACTATAACTTGAGTTTGGACCGTACTAGAGTAACTTTGTCTTATGGACATAAAATATTTTACTATCTGTAACAGTTATCTTAATCTGGAATGATTTTTAGAAAAATGTTTTTCTCACTTCACAACAACTGAGTGTTTACTAAAAAATAGACGCTAGAAATTGAAATCATTTTACCCCCGAACCCCTAGAGTAAGTTGAAATCATTTCTTCACTTAAGTTTGGATAATTGACAATAGATGATGTCGTTTGCGAAGCACATGGTGAATATGGTCGTGTACTGCATGAAATATGCTAAGACTGGTGCAGCATCTTTCACCGGACTGAGGCTCATCCCAGTGGTATGAATCCATAGACCCAAATAGGTGCAGATTACCAGATTTCTCGATAGATGCTCACTGCTTTGATGGGACTCAATACGACACGAGCAACTTTATGTCTGTACAAGTGTATCGTGCTTCTGGGATTTTCAGTTAAAATTTTCTCTGCAGTGCGTGCAGCAAAATTGGTCATCGATGAATCCGCTGCTCCCGTGAAAATTCGGAATAGTGTAAAGCGAAAACAAGGATGTGGGCAGGATTCATACTGATCCACTTTAACCGGGTTTCAGTAAAATAATATCACATAGGGAAACATCGCTCTGAACTAATCTTTGCAAAATCGTGTCTTCAATAATGCGCAAATCACTACACTTTCAGCGATTAAGAGGATGAAGTGATAAAAGTTGAGCTGATGGAAGTATACAACAAAATGCATATGGTAACTTTAAAGTTCTAAGATTACTCAGTGTCCAATTCCAACAGGTTTGTCACTGAATTGCGTAATATTCATTCATACCCACTGGTAGTGCTTATCGTGCTGACATTAGCATCTGCTTGCCTGTCATGTACGTGATGATTCACCTAGTAGCAAATCTAGATTGCATATGAGTGATTAAACTTGCTAACAATTGAAACACATTTCGGTACACGTGTGTGGGATTGGAACTCCGTCCCATCACAGACATTGCATTCTCACGTTCACAGTAGGCATTTGAACAATATTTTTCCTTGAACTGTAAGAATTATTTTGTCTGTAATATCTGTTGAGATTTCATACAAGGATGTCCGTAGAAACATAGTGATAGATAACATGCGTTGGTAAAAATTTTTAACAAAACATTACATCGAAGTGCTTTATCAGAGAGGCTTTCATTCACTCAAAGTTCTAAGTCACGATTGTGCTCTCAATCATTTAGATTTGTTTTGTTCTAAACTGTGTCCTGTTCAATGTTATGATTTTCACTTATGGTGCTGATGTCATAAAGACCCCCTCCAGTACCGGATGATTTCTTGACAGAGTAAAACCAGCTTCCAGTAATATCGATTAAATAGAAATGTAGCTTTTCCAAATGAATTATGATTCGTTGAAATCAACCGAATGATCTTTAGCTGATGTTTTCATTTCACGGTAGTTACGTTCTAGGGTTTCAATTTGACTTGGAATGTCCCCTCCAACAAAAATGCTAGATTGTCCTGGAAAGAGTAAATTTTATGTCTTCATCTTCTTCAAAAATGCTGTGCAGAAGAGTTCAAGTTTATCTTGTGAAATGATCATTTCAAATGTTATATTGCTCTACCAAAGGACAAAATATGAATATCCTGCAATAGCTTTCTCCCATTTTCATCTAACTCTACGTCTGGAGGCAGAAAATAACAATTCCATAAAATCAGGTCCACTAAATTAATGTGGAGGGAGATTTTATACCGTAAGTTNTCGTGACCTCCCGCGGGGCGATACTAGATCAATAGTCCATAGTGAGCTACTTTGTATCAAACAATCGATGCAGAGCAGTCGACCGAACCTTTCCAAGTCAACTTTTGTGAGTTCAAGATAGTTTACTTATGTCAACCGAAATAAACATTTACAAAAGGATTACCAATTTTTAAACAAAACAAAGGAGTGAACAAGCTCGTTTACAGTGATTCATGTTCATGTCAAAACATAACAATAAATACCACGACTTGGTATTAAAACTGTCGTGAGAAAATTAAATGAAATAAAATCACATCATAAATTACTAGAAACTAATTAATCATAAGACCGGAAATCGGGTTCACTGCAATCACAAAGTTGTTTCTGTATTCAACCGATCATCGAGATTACTCGTGATACGGTGTGTGTGGGGGTGGGTGGGATATGGACAGAGAAGCTTTAACGCTTGCACAAATCGTTTGTAGTCATACCGAGAGAGGGATGGGGTCACAGACAAATACCCACGGTTTCTGTCGTGGCCAGCACCCGACAGCGAACCTGCCTCAGCAATAAACCCCAAAACTTTATATTTTGGGCGGAAATTCCCGACCAGGTACACGGTGTGATTTATTCCAGCTGTGTGGGAAACCACTGCACTGGTGAATGATCTACTTTTTTAATTAATTTCCCCAAACCTCGAGGATTATCTAACGAAAAAGCAGAGTGCATAGGTACACCCTAACAAAGGGTTTAGATGTATACAGATTTTGACTTCATTTTATAAAGCCTCAATACCAACATATATGAAATATAAGATTACCGACAACGGAACAAGCAAACAAAAGAAACTATTTGAGCGTTAAAAATAATTAAAATTAGGATTTCACTAGTGAAACACGGTAGAAGAAATTAATTTAGTAACACTCAAAGCCGCTAGTAAACGTGCAGTTTCAAATTGTCCACGTTTCAGTTTGAGTCAATATTTTCTGTGCAAAACTTAACTCATCGCGTGTGACTTTGGATCAAGTAGACTTTTTCAAACCTGTTGGTCTGCACGAAACACGCTTGATATTGCTCAACCAGTATTTTCTATAGATATTTATTTGAAGTTATCATTTTGGCATAAATTTCAAAACTAATTTGTTTTGAGTGTCTGAAGCGTGGGATTTATTCAATTGTATATTGAAAATCAATACTGGAATGCAAACTATCTTCACCCTCTGATATCAGCATTTCCTGGCTATCGATTCTTTTACGTCGGTTATATTTTTATTGAGCAAGGCATTAGTGTATCCAAGGTCCACAGAGCGAAACGCTGTTCAGAGTGTAGACACTCGTTTGACGTGCAACCAGTTTGTGTCGTGTCTGTTGTTGTCATCACTAACAACTGGTCTGTGACCAAGTAACAAGCGAGAACAAAGTATCGAACGAGTTTTACTGGCCTACCAGATCATGACTCGAACCGCTCTTATGTCCTTACAGTGCTCCGCATCCGGGTCGGAGAAGAAGCAATTCACAGTAAAAACTCTCATAGCATCCAAGGACTAGACTGAGGGTATCGACATTTATAGCACGGGTTCACGATCATATTGCAATCATATCTGATCCGTTTTGTCTCGGTTGTCTGTGAACAAGTTTTTCTTGGGTTGTAATTTTGCTCATACAAACTTTTTCCCAACCTATTCATGCTTCCTTGTGTGTTGCATCGGGTTTACATAATCGGGAAACATATCACATTTCTCCCAAAGTTGCTCACGAGAAGAATTTTCAACTCCGTCCGCGTTAATCATTTAAAATTATTTTAAGAGACCCAACTCATCCTGTTGAAATGTTTTGTTCGAATTATAAAGGTCATCACATTTTCCGGACATCTCTGTATGGCGGACTACATTTCTTTTATATATTTTATGGTAAAACAATAAATGAAAAACTTCATTCTAATTTTTCTAGGCCTTTTAATTTTTGGCGTCTGAATAAAACTTGTTTT